TGCTACAGGTTTGACCAATCAGGTTTGCATTTTGCTAAACCACTTGTTTCTTCGTCTTCCTCCTCACTCCAGAGACTATAAGGGATTTTCATGTCCTAAAAGATAACCCAGAATCGTATCCACAATGCTTTGTCTCATTTGGTGGAATAATGGATTTCCGGTGGGCTATGCTCAAGCTTTTCAGTAATTTCAATGAGCCTGGATTCACATATTCATAAAGTATATATTAGTCTAGTTAATTTGTTACAGGTGTTGGCTGTGAAAATTAGAGTTTTGCATGGTACATCATCTGAAATTACTTGTGTTTAATGGAGGCAGGAAGTTGTGCACAATTTTCAAGTTGAAGTTTTAAGCTTGAAGTCTGTTTAGATCTGAAAAAAAGGAAAAAAGTTTGTGTGATCAAATGGGTTTTTTTGGTAAGGTGGTGTTGCATTTAGATCTTGTTGACCTTGATTCAACTTTCTATAAGAATCTATATCTTTCTACTTTATGCCTTATGTATTTTTTTCATTTTGGTCAAATGGTGCCTAGATGAACCAATAGTTCACAAATGTAAAGATATTAATGGTTTTCTGTGCTTTGAACGGAAAGGGTGGTGGTACAATACTGCTCATTTAGATTTTATAAATTACAAGTGAAAAAATAATTCTCTGTTGGGATAACATTAGAGAGTTTGACATTCCAGCTTACCGAAATTACAGGTTTCGGCGTAAACAGTCTCTTATAATGGCAATTATGATGACAAATGCTTTAATGCATTTTATTGCAGACATAATTAAACGGTTTTAAGACTTATGTTTGTTCGGAAGATGAAAATTTTATTTCAGATATAAAATATTTTATGGGTTAACAGGAAAAATATTTATTGACTACGTAAAATGTTTTATGCTCTTGTGTAACATATTTTTCGAAAAACAGAAAAACTACTTTTATACTAAATTTAGAATAATAACTTTGATGAATGTTAATATTTAATTTTAAAAAAGTTTTAACTTAAAATATTGATATTTAAATTATTCAATACTATTAAAATTTAAAAATATTTTTTAATGAAATCATTCAATGCAGTTAATACTTTTATTTATAAATTAAATAAATTTTATTAATAATTATAATAAAAAATATTTTCGTGATCATCATTTAATGAATATATATTTGTAAATATACATTTTAGATGTTTTACACAATTAATAAATATTAATATTTTTATAGTGTTAAATTAAAAAAATATTAGATGGAAATTCTTTTAAAAATTGGAGTTTACTTTCATTATGATGTGATTAAATTAGACTTGGCAATTCATATTTTTATATTATAATTATATTAGATACGATTAGACACGAAATACGATAAAATTAAATACAAACACAATACAAATAATTATTCGTGTTTGTATCTGAAATACGTATATAAATATGTTTAATAACTGTGTAACACAACACAACATGATCAGCACATTTATTAAATGTGTCAATATACGACACGATTAATAACATGATTAACATATTTAACACGATTAAATAAAAAATTTTACAATTGAATATAATTTTATTATTTAAATTTAAAATCAATAATTATAACAAAATAAAATAACAATAATATCAAATCTAATAAAATTTAACATAAATAACATACATAAAATTCATTATCAATTTATCATATTCATACTAATAAAATTCTCATTAACATCTAACCTTAAAACAAAGCAAAAATCCAAAATTAGGGCTCGGGGATAATTACATTATTAACTTTATGAAATTCAAAAAACTTTTTAAAATAGTTGTTTAAAATTATTTAAGTAGAGCTAAAATAATATTTGATTATTAATTTTTAATAAGTTAATAAATGTGTTATGTATATATGTTTAAATATGATAATATGATTAATATAATTAATTAAACGTGTTTAAATGTGTTATTTGTATTCGACACATTTAAAACACAAAAATTTTTATATTTTAAATATGTCAGACACAATTAGACATAAAAAATATTAAGGTTAAACCCAAAGTTGTTTAACCTTGTATTTTCTTGTTTCGTATTAACATGTTATGTTTAAAATTGTCATATCTAGATTAAATGCTTTGAAAAATATCATTATTTATTTGTCTTATTTTCATTTGGGTCGTTTTAAAAAATAACCTTCAAAGACAAGATGTTTTCAAAAATAGCCATCTTTATAATTTTAAATGCTTTTAATCAAATTGGAGAAACTTACCCTTAATAAAACTTTTCTATTTTTAAGTGCACATGATGTTATATGCCATGTTGAAATCATATTGTTACACATCATGTATAAAAACATGTTACATATAGTTAAAAAAAGTTTTACATATCATGTTGAAAAAAAAAATTTATTACACACCATGCATGAATACATGTTACAAGCTATGTTGGAAAAAAATATTGTTGCTACACGTCATGTTGCAAAAATATTATTGGTACACGTTATATTTAAAAATTTTTTTTACAGTTTAATGTCTAAAATATTGTTACTTACGAATCAAAACATCAAATTCTCTCAACTCTTTTCATTTTTTTATTTTTTAATGATTTTGTACCAATTAAAGTGTTTCTAACATGTTTTCATAAATAAAAGCACGATTTTCTTCATCTAAAATATCTGTTTTGGTTAAAAAAAAAAAATTTCCTTTAAAATCTTAGGTTTATAAATTTCAAATTCTTAAATTTATTGGTGTTTATACTTTGAATTGATCTAATTAAAAGCAATTTCAAACATTTATAATCATTTTTACCATTTTAGTTTCTTCCAAAACATTTAAAAATTAAATTTCCCAAATAGACACCCACTCCAAGCACATCCAAACTATCATTTGACATACTGAAAGCATAAAAGAGAGAAATAGAGAACACAGCAGAGGGATACTGAAGAGAAAAATTAATAAAATTAAAAAGAATTACATGGTGAGAGAGAGAAATCAAAAGCACAGATAGATGTGTAAAAATTGTGATAAATGACTTAATTTATTTGAAATGGTTTCAAATGTAATTTTGTCAAGCTATGGTTAAATATGATTAAAAGCAATTAATTTTATTTTGGGTGATATTTTTGAAATCAAGTTATCAAGATGATCATTTCTTGCAATTTTGTCTTTTCGTTTCTATTCTTAATTTTAATGTGAAAATCAAATGTCATAATTATTTTGTAATTAATTCCTATTTATCATACTAACTCCCAAATAAGTCCATGTGTTTTGCACAAGATGATCCAAATAATAGAAAATTTTCTTGACAAATTATCCCAATAATAGAAAAAATTAAATTTTCTTATAAAATATTTTATATAAAAAAAATTTTCTACCAATAAGTTGTTTTTGGATTATCAAATAGACACTAACTGCATATATTTTTTTATGAAGAGATTATGTCTTCTTTCCATTTGATAGCCTTTGCATTTACTTTTTGTGCAATGTATTTATATTTTTTTTGGTACATTACAAAAGGGAATTCCAATGCGTTTGTGTTGCATTTGTGGCACCTTCAAACCAAAAATGAGCAATCGTTTCAACTCCACTTAAAGCCGCAAAGGACAGGAGACAAACCAGATCATACACCAAAATGAACTATAGTTACAATTCAACGCAAAGATTAAAAGGATACAACTAAAGAATTTTATTTGATGCACCAGTTGTACATTGAATCATATTATTATAAAAATAAACTTAAAATTAAATATTTATAATTTTTTTTAAAAATTACTTAAAAGATAAATGCAATTTTCTCTTTTTTCTCTCTCTCAATCTTTCTTTTTTCTTTTCCTTTTGTTTTTATCTTTCTTCCATTAAGATAAAGTTTGACAAAATTGTATAATTTCAAAACCCAATAAGATAATGAAATATTCAAAATAACTCTTATTTATTGATATTAATGATATATTTTTAAGTAATTTTTATATTCGAATCTACGAGTAAAAGTTAAAATGTTTCTATTATTAAACACGACAATAAGATGAGTTTGGCTCAAGTGTGGGCAAAACGGAAAGTTCACCTCTTTTATATGATATATTCCCCGGCAAACCATGTGTAAATTGGCTGAGTTGTTTGATATGCCCACAAAACAATTGACAAAATGCTAACAAATGTCTTAGGAACAACTGTTATAATTCTAGTTTTTTACATTTTATCATTGATTGGCATCCAACCATTACACAATCTGAACTGTTACGTTTCCATATTAAATGCAATATTCGATTATCTTCATACGGTTTTACCTTAATAAATGTTCCTACAACATCTAACAGTTGAGAAGAAATGCTTTGCACAAAGTTTTGAAAGAAAGTCGGGATTAAAACAGATTTCATTTCAGGATAAACAGAGTAAAGGTGATAATTTTAATGGGGTTGGACAGGGATAAAAAAAAATCAAAGAGGAAAAAAATATTTGAGAGAGAAAAAAAAATGTATTTTTATTTTAAAAATTTTATATTTATTTTTAAGGTAAAATATCTAATTTTTTTTTAAGTTTTAACTGAAATTCCACATAAGTTCATTAAGTTTCATATAGACATTTAACTGTTAGTCAATTATGAGTGTTTTTGTTAATTTGATGACATGATAATATTAAAAAAATAATTTTATCTTTTATTAATTTTAAAAATTATTATTATATGAATTGTATATATATATTTTTTACAAAAGAAAAATTTCAGGCCGAGGGAGGGGGAGCACTGATTGGGAGGGTGCTCCCCTCCATTGGAGAGCAACTAGTATGAGGTGGTCAGTTGGAGAATGGGAGCTTACTAATTAGCCACAATGTTTGAGAGAAAAAAAAAGAAAAATATTTTTTGTTAATAGTGTTTATACCTTTAAGTTTTATTGTCTATTTTAAAAATGAATGAACTTTACGTAAAATTTAATTAAAATTTAAAAAATTTAAACATTTTATTTTTATTTTTATAATAACATGACATCATTTAATGATGTTACAATATATAAACCTGGAAGCATACTACATTCTCCACCGACATTGTACCTATTAATGATGTAGCAGGGTCCTTTTCTTTTGGTTGAAGCTTTTTCCAATCCTTTGCTTCCGGGCCATCTCTGCAATATACTCTCCCTTGCTGGCAAGTTTCATGGCTTTAGGGGTTTGGATAAAATGATAAATCCTTATAAAGCTTCTTTCATTTCTAGTCCACCTCTCTAACTCATATCATCACAACTTTGCAGAGCACGAAGATCAAGATGGGCCAAAACATATCAGCTGGTATTCTCTTTTCCCTCTTGCTCTCTTCAATTTTCTGCATCAACTGTTCATTTTGTATATATACAGTTGCATACAAGTTTGCCCCACCTTCATAAATGGATTACATGTTTCTTTCATTGCAAATTTGATACACAGGAACAAACGTATTTGTATAAAAATGTTGATTGTTGCATTGAATACATAATGAAAAACAAGAGAAATATTACATATATATTTTTATTTATTGAATATTTGATTCAATAGTATATGTATGTTTTTTGATTTAAACAATTATTCAGTGTATCTTGTATCGAACTTGAGTTTTCAAATTTTTAAAATCAATTTTCTAATTAATTTTAATTTTAATTTATTTATTTTACTCGTTACATTTCAATACATTTGTTTTGAAGAATCATTCTCATAAATAAGAATTAAAAATATATTGAAAAGTAATACGGAAAGGAGACAAACCCCATGTTTTATCCTTAGCATTTCGGTCAGATTGGTTATTTTAAAGCTTTATGATAATAAGAGTACAAAGTCCCTTAGTTTGTATTCATTGCCGATGCAGGAAAGAAAGGTAAAGAAATTGATTCCGTGATAGAGAAATGCTACCAAACTTATTTTAAAGACAAAAAAGATTGGACTTCAGCTAAGTTCTACGGAGCAGTATGCGAAACTGTCGAGTATTTCATCTTGCTTTTAGCTCTTTCCATCATAAATCTTTACCTGAATTCATTCAAGGATGGTATTAATTCATTTGATTAAATGTGTTTACTCTCCTGTTGACAGAGAAATCAACAAAAAGCTTGGGAGCACGCAGTTAAGTGTGCCAAAGACTACGACGCTGGAGCTAGCGTATGAGGTACAGCCATTGAGTTCCCTCCAGTCAGCCACACCCCTATATCCCCTTTCTTGCTGATCTAAGAAATCCAGAAGCAGTTTCTTATAATTAGAAAATATCACCAATAAGTCCAACGCGTGTGACAAATTAAACTTTTGAGTGTTGAATCAAATGCCTTCAAGTCCATTAAGCCATAACCCATATAAGTAAAATGGTAGTATATCATTGACAGTGGTTCATTTAATTGTTGCAGAGATACAAGGAAGCAGCAAAAGGAGAATTGTCAAAAGAAGAGTTTCAAGGGATTCTCCAGGAAGTGCTAATTGAGACTGGATTTACAGGAATTGGAGCCAAGGACATACTCTTCTACCTATTCGGGATTCCGGTTACAGGCTTAATGATCAAGAAACGTGCAGCCCTCAAAATCCATGACGATTTATTCATCCCTGCTATCACCTCTGCCACTGTTTTCCTCCTTGCAAAACTAAAAAAAATTTGAGGGCCATTGGCTCATTCCCTGCTAGTTACCATGTCTATCCTCAAATCATGTTTAATTTGCTGATGCAATGGTGGTTGTTGTGGAGGATATCTTCAAAGTTCCTAGTTAATTATTGGATATCCAAGCAATATCCAGCAATACCTCAGGCTAGGTAGAGACTAATGTGGAATAGCATTCCCCACAATTTGGCTTGGTGCATATGGTAAAGGAAAAAAGCATCATCATACTAATGATGGGATTAGCATTCATTGCGCACGTAGCACCAATAACCTCCAAATAAAAACGCATTTATTTGATTTTCATTGCTATTATTTATGTATTTTTTGCATTTTATAAACAAAAAGCTACCTTAATTTGATTTTAAAAACAAATAAAAGGGAAGGGGAACTCAAATCTTAAATCTCAACTATTTCACAACTGGATGTTTCCTCCTCCTTTTTGCATTGAAAAATGATTGAAAACAGTCGAATGTCTGTTATTTTTCCGATGCTTGTCAATTGCATGAACATTTGTATTGGGAGGCAAAGAAAAGTCCCAGGAATATATATTTTCTTTTTCATGTTGTAACTCCAAGAATAGTAAACTCGCATCTAATTTTCGTTTGACCCTCCAAATGTCAGGGCTTTTAGAGGTTGTAGGAGATGAACAAGTCACCCTTTGAATCACCAAGAGAAACAATGTTGGAGAGAATTGTGCTCTCCTCTCCACCCTTCTTTAGGCAAGAAAACTCAAACTCAAAATGTTTGTCAATTTTACAAGATTAATGCGGGGATTTTAACATGTAACATCTTATTTTAAACATAGGCATCACTTCATTTGTCACAAATCCCATGCATGCTGATTGTACGGTCTACCTGTGACTCTCAGTGACCTGACCACAAAATTTTCAAAAGAAAAAAAAATTGAATTTGACACAGCTTTGAATCTTATTTTGTTGGGGTTGAGAAGAAAATAAAAGTCTTTGGTTCAATCGCTCTTTTCGCTTTCCTTCATTGAAACAAGAGAGACAAGGGGCAAACATATTGTAAGATTCATACAATTTGTTCATTACATGGTTCCTGCATCTTGACCCACATTGCAGTGACATTTCAATTCCAATCAACCATAAACAGATCTTAGCTCACTGAAATCATAGCATGTTAACGTGTAAAAGAAGTTGCACACGATGAACAAAGAGCAAAGTAGTGTTCTAAGGGCATGGGAGGCCACCGTACGCAAAACACAAGCGGCCAAAAAGCGCGCAAATAGCATTTTCGGGACAATATCTATGGCAAATGCAACAGAGGATGATCCTGAAGATGATAATGATAAAAGTGTAAGCATCTCTGGGGATGCACACTTTGCAGAGAAAATTCTACCTAATGGGGATTACTACACCGGCCACTGGTATGACAATTTTCCAAATGGACAAGGAAAGTATTTATGGACCGACGGGTGCATGTACGTAGGAGAGTGGAATAGAGGCAAAACAATGGGGAGAGGAAGGTTTAGTTGGCCCTCCGGTGCTACTTACGAGGGGGAGTTCAAAAGCGGATACATGGATGGGACTGGTATATATACCGGATCAAATGCGGACACTTATAAGGGGCAATGGGTGATGAACTTGAAACATGGTCATGGCTTAAAGAACTATTCCAACGGAGACTGGTATGATGGGGAATGGCGCCGTGGCTTGCAAGAAGGGCATGGGAAATATCAATGGAAGAATGAGGACCATTATGTAGGAGAGTGGAAGAATGGTGTGATTTGTGGCAAGGGAACTTTTGTATGGAGCAATGGGAATAAGTATGTTGGCTATTGGGAAGATGGTATGCCCAAGGGAAATGGAACTTATCAATGGCCCGATGGAAGTTTCTATGTTGGGAACTGGAGTAAGGACCCAGATGAACAAAATGGGACTTATTACCCTTCAGAGTCCTCCCTGGCTGCCAATCTTGAATGGGATCCTAAAAATGTGTTTAATGAGCTGGCTGACTGCAAGATTTGCCCGGGTGAAAGGTTTTCCATCCTGCCGTCACAAAAGAAACTGGCAATCTGGTATTCAACCAAGGGTGGGGACAAACCAAGGAGAATGTCAGTTGATGGGAGGGTAAGCGTAGGCATAGAGAGGCCATTTGATAAAATGAGCATGTGGGAGACTGATGGCGATGGTAATGATTTAGGAGAAGTACGGAGAGATTTGGATTGTGAGCTGTTAGGTGTACATCATGATGATACAAACCCAAAGTTCAACCTGGCATTGCCATTGAAAGCTCCAAAACCAGGAAAAAGACAAGGAGAAACGATATCCAAAGGCCATAAGAACTATGAACTTATGCTCAATCTGCAATTGGGAATCAGGTGGCATTCTCTATATTCATTGTTACAATAATATATTGTGCTCTTCTTTTGACTTGTGTTTTTCTCATCCTGAACCATATGCATATAGATGTTTAAATTATTTTCAAAGAACATCGTTTTCCAATTTGTAGGGAAATATTTTTGATACTCAATTAGGGAAACTAGTATTATATTATTATTGTATTTTGTTTTCCTTGGCTCTACTTAGTTGCTAATATAGAAAAGATAAGGGCCAAGTAGCTTAAAGTTTTGGAATATAAAAGAAAATGATTTTCCTTTTCCAATTCAAGGGGAAAAAAGCACAAAATTTGGGTCTATATTTCTGCACAATTGCTATTGAGTTTTCAGGCCAATTGCCTGCACCATGGGAATCCAAAAACAGGGGATAAATTGAGATCAGTTTCAAACAGAAAAATGTTTACTAGTTATTATGATCAACACCCCGTTTCTTAAGAGGTAAATATTGAAAGATTAAATTCAAAAAGTTTCTAATGTTTGTATTGAAGACACTATTAAGCACATAGGTGAACAAAAACTTGCTACTTTTAGGAGCTTTATAAACCTAATCTGAAGAGTTTCATCTTTCCTTCCTTATACTAATTCTGCGTGAAATGACGTTTTACATCATTCCCTATTTTTTTTTCTTGTTCAACATTTTATCAAATTCTCGAACTTGGATCCTGTGATAATTATCTGCTCTATGTGATGTGGAGTTTGTCACATTATCAACATTTGGAGTGATTACGCAGGCATTCTGTAGGAAGACCTGCTCCAGCTACATCCCTGGATCTTAAGGCTTCAGCTTTTGACCCAAAGGAGAAAATTTGGACTAGATTTCCTCCAGAAGGCAGCAAATACACTCCACCACATCAATCTAGTGAATTTAAATGGAAGGATTATTGTCCAGTAGTTTTCAGGTATGGCAATATTGTACATAAATTACAATCCAATCATACTCTTTTTAGTGCAGTAAAATGTTATAATTTGTTAGTATATCGTCACACATGCATTTGAACCTGAGCATGGATTGCTAAGGCAACAAAGCTCTATAAGAAGCTTCTGCACATGTTTAGCGGCTAACAACTCTGAAAAAGATTACTACATGGGGCTAACCAGAGAGAGAGATGTTGTGAAGCATCTTGCTCCCCTTAATGACAACAATTACTCTAGATGTTTAAATTCTCATTTAAGAACATGCAAAGTAACTCCACATCATCATTTGTCTAAAGGACTTTGAGGAAGTTGTTCAAGGTAGATCCTGCAGATTACATGATATCAATTTGTGGGAACGATGCACTTAGGGAACTATCATCCCCTGGTAAAAGTGGTAGCTTCTTTTACTTGACTGATGATGACCGATACATGATAAAGACAATGAAGAAGTCAGAAGTGAAAGTGAGTTTTGTATACACATACCTATTATAGTTTGGAAGCAATGCTGATTGTTGCAAGTCCAGGTTAATAACTGCTTTAACTGTGTGCTCTAGGTACTTTTAAGGATGCTTTCAGCCTATTACAACCACGTTCGATCCTTTGAGAACACTTTGGTGATAAAATATTACGGTTTGCATTGCGTGAAGTTAACTGGGCCAACTCAAAAAAAGGCAAGTGAATGACATTATTAAACAAGTCAACTATTTCAGCCAGAATTTTGTGGCAATACTCATTTAAGGGAAGCTTCATCAGTTGAGGTTTTTAGTGCAGACTGTGGTAAGAAAACCATTTTGATTAATTATAACAGTCTTAGGGTTGACAATCCAGGTACGGTTCATTATTATGGGAAACCTCCTACGCTCCGAGTATACAATTCATAGACGCTTTGACTTGAAAGGATCTTCTCTAGGGCGCATAACAGAGAAGCCTGAGTCTGAGATCGATGACACCACCATACTTAAGGACCTTGATCTCAATTTCATATTCAAACTGCAGAAAGCTTGGTTTCAAGAGTTTTGTAGGTGAAATACAGTTTCTTTCTCTTTGGCTTTCTAGATGTTTATTCCACTGCCTTGACACTGAAGTAATTAAACATGTTTGGTACCTATACATTGCAGCACCTTTTATTTTTCTAATTTTGCTTCAAAATTCTTTCAAGCTTTCTAATTTTGCTTTCCATCTTCCTTCATCAACTGCATTAAATATTTATACGTGTTTCCCCTGACAGGCAAATAGATAGGGATTGTGAGTTTCTTGAACAGGAGAGAACTATGGACTATAGTCTTCTTGTGGGTCTTCACTTTAGAGAAATATCAACTCATGGAGAGCTAATCCCTTGTGGAAGGCGAACTCCATCCGGTTATCTTTCATCTTTTTCTTAACATTTAAATCTTGTCAAAAATCCTCTCTTAAGATTATTGAGTGCATACGTGTTTCCTCCAAACTCTTTATTTTGGTTAACAAGTTTTGTTCACTCTCTTGCAGGCAATTCTGAGAACGAATCAGCTCCTCGTCTTTCTAGAACAGATGTGGATCAACTTCTTCTAGACCCTAAGAGGTGAAATGTCTTCATACACAAATCTTGGTATCATCTTTCAATCTTAGTATTTAAGTAAGCCCGTGCGTCAAAACTTGTCTCAACCCTAAACCACAAAATTATTCTAAACAATTTAAGCATAACAATTAATTCCACAATGGAGCCAAGAGACAATAACTTTGAATCTTGGTATTAAGAAGCAAATGAACATTGCAGGTGGGCTAGCATCAAGCTGGGTGCTAACATGCCAGCACGTGTAGAAAGAACTATAAGAAAACCAGAGAGTGAACTACAGCTGGTGGGAGAACAGACGGGGGAGT